GACATAAAATCGTTTCAAGGTCAGTAAACACAACCAGAATTCATACATAAGGCACACGGGATTATAAGGGGCACTGTCGATTTTCAGAAAAACCAAAGGATTGATTTTAAGTGTGCCGTATTTTCCAAAAAACACGGTAATAACGACGGCCCGCTAGCATGCTCTACCAAAAAAAGTGCTTTGTTATGTATCTGAAGGACGAAAGCTAAACCAGTTCCACACCACTGAAGTTGCAGCATTTTTACAAACTCGTTTCATTCAACGATCCACTTTCGCTCTTCTCATTCTCCGTCGCCGTCATGCTTTTTCCGCCATGTGCGTATGAAAACAAAGGCACTGCGCATGTGCACTTTACTCATATTCTATCGCGATATTTCATTTTCTTATCCTTGCCAAACATTATACCGGTATTACCGTGAACGGTATGATATGGCCCAGCCTTATAGAGTAGTTTATGTTTCTGGTGTGGGAAATGGTCTTATCGGCTAGAGTTAAAGCAGAGTGGCTTTGGGGACAAAGGTGGCTCTCCTCCTCTCAGTCCTGCAGGAAATGCAGCGGAGGCGTCGCCCAGAGGGGAGCCATTGAAATGTGGGGTGAAGAATGTGAGAGGGGTCATTGATGAATTTGGCTGCCTGTCTAAGGGCCGGCTGGCTGAAAACCTGTGCCAGAGTTCTGACAGGCAGGCCAATGATTTTAGAGCACACTGATGCAGTGTGCTGCAGTCTGTTCCTGTTCTGAAGGCTGACAGAGTCCAACCAGCAGGTAATGGAGAAGGTCATGATGCTTTCCAGGAAGGCATAGTAAAAAGTCATCATGATGGGTGTGCTGACTCCAAAGGAGTTGAGTTCCCTATGAGGTATAGCCGTTGGTGGCACCCCCTGAGGAGCTGTCACACCACTCGACATCACTTCTTCTTCTTTATCACTAGGAGAACCTTTTCGTAGTATCACGCTTTTGATTACAGGAAGTGGTGATTAACATTGTTTAGTATGTATTGTGTTGTCTTGACTGCTAAAATTCTGAATGCATTTTGAGATTTTAGCTCATCTTTAAAACTAAACTAAGAAGTAGCCATGCATTTGCAAATGAAAGCCTGTAATTATGTACAGATAACAGGCCATGTTCACATACTACATCACTGCTGTGTAGAAATACTCAAGTGTGATAGCTACTGTATAAAGTTATTATAGAAATTTTCTCTACCTCATGTTAACCTCATGTCTCTTTGCAGTTGAACAGTCCAGATGAATGAAGCGCCCTTCCAGTGAAGATCATGTGATCCCTGTTGTTACTGTGTTTTGGTGGAAGAAAAGAAACCTTCAACATTTATTTTAATGTTTCCATCCAACCATTTGTGAAGGCACGTTCATAGTGATAAAACGTGTTTTGTCATCTCGCTGCAGAGTGTTTGTTTTAGTGTGTTCCTTGTTTAAAAAAAAAAAGAAAAGAAAAGAAGCAAAAATCTGTGGATATATTGTTTTGGTTAAAGAAATAAACTTTTATACCTTATTCGACGGTGATGAACTTCACTTTGTGTGCTTTAAACATTTAACGCATGTCAGATGTTAACATTACATATAAAACTATAACAGGAGTGACTCAGACATAGCTTGGCATCTGCAGATATTGATACCCACAAGCAGAGGGCGCTATCACACAGTTTGAGGAGGTATCCACTGTTGATAAACAGCTGGTGATGTTGCACTGTGGAGAAACTTAATTTGAAACCGTCAAAGTTGAATTAAAATAAAACGTCACATGAAGCTTGAGCACAGGAGCCAGTTTTATCACATAGATCGACCAACAAAAAACTGGTGACTGCTACACTGTACAGTGTCTTAATCTATAATAGAACACGATTGTATACAGTCTTGGATCAAAATCAAGAAATGTGTTTTGCAGAATACACTGTGATCCAACATCAAGAAAACATTTATTTGGCTAATAAATTTATCTAAGTTGTATTAAATGCTAAACCAAGGCAATTGGCTCTGATTCAGTTCTTCCTGAATTCTTATCAGTTAAAGATAATGTCTCTTATCTAACAGTGTGAGTTTCAAGGGAATTCACTCATGTGCTTTACATGGCATCATGCCATATAGAGAGATATAGCTATAACACCATGGTGATTTTCTGTTTTGAATAAAACAAGTCATCCACATTTGCATAACATCCTCTAGGTTTCTACATAAAACTGCAAAAGTTAATTCAGCTGGTTGTCAGCAAGTCGTCACAGTGCACTGGGAGATATGAAGTATTTACAGTATGTTGAGCTAAAGATTAATAAATGGGTGACAAATTATAATCTTTGGCCCCTACAGTGAAAGAAACTGGCAGCAAAGGGTCAAATTAAAAACTTGTGATCACCTTTAACCCGTTGACAATATCCAGGGCATGAATGATATAACATGGCTTTACAGTCACTAAATCTCAATATTGTAATCGGAGGCTTGGGACCAATATGACAGGGCTCTCTGTCACCATTACCAAATGAGGGAAATGATTAGAAAGATCCCTCCAACAGACCATTAGAGACTTCAAGGCACAGTGAAGCTGTGCTGGCAGCACATAGTGGCTCAACACCTTTTTCCTCCCCTTTCATTTGTCACCCGTCTGTGGGTAAGGCAGTCCTGTCAGATTCTTGTGCACTGCTCACAAAGTTTCAGTGCTAAATAAATAAAGTGCTTTGTTGCTTTTGTAGCATTTGTCCTCTCAGGCTGATTGGAGAGTCTCAAATCCTGAAGCAGGACTTAGGAAATGCAGGAAGTTCAGAGTATTTCGGGGCTCTAATTTAAGTCCCACATCAGTTTGAACAGGAGCACAGGGTCACAGATATTATAATATGGGTTGTCTTTAAGATGAATAATACCAAGGCAGTCCTTCCTGCCTATGGTCTCTGCAGTGAGGCGGGTGGCCTGAGGCCTTCATTCACTTGGAGCCAGGTGAGAAAAAAAATGGCTCCTCGTCTTCAAGCGGCTTTCTTCTTTAAGAAAACAAACCTCGTCACATTAAAGTCAAATAGGGAAAAAAAAGCCAAGCAAGAAAAAAAAAAAAGACCCTCAATTCAATTCTAGTCTGTGAACTTGTGAGTGTCTCCGTACATCCAGTGCTGAGGAGGGAGGGCCACTTCATTAAGGTGGCCGCAATCACTGCTGCATTTACATGACTGGATCAACATGGACAGCCTCTGAAACCGCTCACCATCCGGGCACGCAAAGGTCACAGGCACGGTGCGGGTGCGACGTGGCGAGCAGCACCGTCCATCCGTACACACGCCGCAGTAGTTGGGCCTGTAGAGGCGGATGCTCACACATTCCCCATAGGACAGGTGGATTGGCTCTGCGACTTTCTCAGTTGGGGAGCAGCTTTTCCCTTTCTGTGATCGAGTTATGAAAGCAGAGAGATAAGAGTTATAACCTGGGTCATAATGATTATTATTAGTTGGAATCAAGATAAATGAATAAATAAATAATCTAACAAGATCTGATTTATACCCCCATCTGCGCCTTACAGAGCGGCAGATTAAAGCAGCTTTACACTCATAGTCTGTTTCACATTAAGAGGACTAGACTTCCAAAGCAGGGAATCAGAGAGGGATTATTTTTAGATAAATGTGATTATATTTAAGGTTAAATATTTATTCAACATTTGAGTGTCCTCTGCTGTTAAATACACCAACACCTATGACAGCTCTTGGCAGCAGAGCTTTTAACTCAGTGGAGCAGAGTAAAAGAGTTCTTACCGTGTCCAACGTGTAGGATTAATATAGACACACAACTTCCCTGGGCTTGAGTACACAGACAGAGCCTAGCTATGGACAGTTGCTTGGCAGGAATGCTGAGGGTGGGGGACTATATTTAAAAAGGCGCCGGGCTGCCACCAAAACACTGCTGAGTAAATCAGCACTGCCCAGTTCCCAGTGGATGTGGAGCTTCCCGAAAGTACCGCTAAGATAATCTCTGTTCTTAAGCTCTGGATAAAGATGGCTTTAGCACTAAGAGCATGTTTACTCAGTGCCAGAACATCTAATTTTTCATTCAAGCAAAATTAAAGGTACTGTTTTTGCATGAGGAGTCAAACGCAGATACAGGTTAAATAATAAGTGTTATCACAATTCAGCAGAGTACTGCGTGAGAGATAAGTTGCTATTACAAGTTATCTCGGCAGTGATACGGCTGTTTGAACTATGGTCCCTGTCTGCGTCTGTCTCATTCCTTCGTTCAGATCACGCTCAGTCCATCTCACCTTAGCTGGGACCGCCAGGCTGTGACACGGCCGTATGGTGCAGATTCTGGTCTGTCTCTCCATCTTGCACTGAGGGTTCTTGTTGGTGAGACGAGAAGAAACACCCATCCCACAGCTGCGAGAGCACGGGGACCAGTCGGTGGTCTGTACTGCACACTTGTTCTCCTTCAGCGGGCTCCACACTGAGGAATGTATAAGGGTTACGGAGGGTGGGTGAAAGGCAGGGAGAAAAATGACACCAATTAGAGCAGAGATTCTTGATCTGGAGGTCAGGTACCTCGTCAATGTCTATGAGATAAACTGCCATGAAATTTGGTTCAGACGTTCATCCCCACTTTTGGATCAGCTTTGGTGATTAGTGGCTTTTCATTCTCTTTCCATTCATCCCCAACCGGTCGTGGCAGATGGGGGTGTTTTATCTTCCCAGTGTCACAAAGTGCTTGCTCATAGGGAGTTGTGCGATTGTTGGGCTTTCTATCTAATATAGTAGGGTCGTAACCTTACAATATAAAGTACCTCAAGGCAGCTGTTTTTGTGAAATGGTGCTATATAAGTAAACCTGAACTGAATTAAATTGAATCTAGCACTACTATTGAGTGATAGTTTATCTGCTGGTCAGGTTTATTTACCCAATTGTCTTTTGTTCATTGTTAAAAGCAAGATAGAAGGTCACCAAGAATATAAATACAGATAAGTAACTGATAGCAAATCAGAGCAAAGCAGATGATAAATTTGGGATCTCCTGCAGTGTTGCTCTTGAGAAAGGCAAATGTGAGCACATCTGTGTCTGAGGCTAACATTGTGATTGTGAAAAACTCTGTTCTCATATTCTCAGAGTACAGTAAAAGTACTGCCATTATGGAACAACTTTACCTTGTGATTTAAGAAACACTTTTCAATTGTTGCCTCTTATTCACCCATTCATTCATTTGCACATGAATGGTAATGCAAGGTGCTGGTCTGCCACCGGGGATAACATGACCACCGTCTGGCCTGAAGATATTTCAGCATGAGGACAGAAAGAGCCCTTTCTACCACCTTATTCACACAGCCTAGAACAATTGAACTACCTATATAGAGAATCTTTAATATTATACAACCAATGTAAATAAGCAGTACTTAAACTTACTAAAATATGAACTACACTGCGAGAAACAGTTTGCATACCAGGCAAGTGTTTGTAGCCACGCTCACTGTGCCAGCTGCTGGGTTTGACGTCTGTAAGCTGGTTGGCTAGGACCAGGTCATTTTCAGGGTGGGGCGGCACTGGATGGAGCCGAGGTCTGTGCGGGTGTTGTTGTGGAGGATGCACCTGCGCAGAGAGATACGCAAGATTAGATGGTTGCAGTTCATCTTTGCCATGACCGTGTCCGACTTTCGTGTGCTTTTCCCCACAGTGGGCGTAACCCCTGATTTTCAAGGGGTTAGGTGTTTTAAAGCACTTAATAACAGTACCTGCTCTCAGCAAGCGAACCAGATACTGTTAATCAGAAAGGTTTCGGCATCCTTGCACCAGAGGCTTTACTACAGTGGCTTGTATTAGTTTGCCAAAGCAACTCCAAATTATAGTAAACAAAATAAGAAAATATAATTTTTGACAACTGAGTTTTTAAAAAGTTTTTGGCCAAATTGTTTAATTCAATACACAATTAACAAGTTCATCCACAGTGATTTTTTACCTCCAGTATCATCAAACTGTTTCACAAATTCCTTACAAACTCAATGTAACAAACCTGATGCTTAGGTGGAAGGCGCCATGTGCCCTTATTGCAGTCGACAGTGAAGCAGCACTGCCCAGGTATCCTAACCAAGCGTGGGTAGGGGCAGGATGGTGAAGCTGGTGGCAGCTTGTTGCTACAGAGAGGCGCGCAGCCAACAGCGCCATCAATGCAGGTGCACTGGTGTTTACATCCAGCACGGAAGCTTTCGCCATTCTGGTAGATCCTTCCATTGTACTCACACGTGCGTCCCTCCGATTTTGCTGAAAAGACACATATTACTCGCTGCTTCTGACTTCATCAACACCAACAGTGACACAAGACACTAAAAAAATCCCACAGGACAAATGAGATCAAAAAGTGAGTGGATACAAAGAAGCAGGAAGTGTCAGACCCCCCGTCTCGTAGGCATGGAAGAACCAGCTATTCATAGTTTGTGGGGCAGCACCGGCATGGTGCAGAAGGAAAGAGTATTTTTATCCCTGAAACCCCCTGTTGCTGTCATAAAACTACTACTCATTAAAATGTCTCCTGCTGTGCAAGGTTCCATGCTTCTAAATCACAAACCTAAGAAAGCTTCTCTTATGACCTTTGTCGCACCCTTTCGGCTTTTCTTTTACACTCAGTATATAAACTACATTTTCTTGCATTTTAATACTTCAGATGTAGCTTTCCCCCCCCTCCTCTGAGATTTCTTCCCTCCCAGCATTCATTCTTTTCTCACCTCGGCATATGCCCCAGGCCATGGTCACGTCATTGCCATAATTACACTCCAGCCCTTTGTGGTGGTCGCAAGGCCTCGCAGGGCTGCAATCTTGGTTAAGCTGTGCAGCGCACACCTTGCAGCATCCACACCTGTCTGAGACGGAGCTCACGCCTGGAGGGCAGACCGGAGGCTCTGCGGGGCACTCACACACCGCAGGGCAGCGAGCAATCACCTGAAAGATTCACATATTCAGACAAAGCTCAGAACACGACTTGTATATGTGTGTGTGTGTGTGTGTAGCATTTTCCATTATTACTGTTATTATTATTATCAAAATAAAACAGTCAAAAATAAAAACAATAAACCCCACAGGCTTGCATCTATAACCCAATTGTAAAGAAGTCTCCTGGTACTTGGAACAGAAAATTCCTACATCCCCTCTGACTGCCTGTCATCAGCAGGCTGTTAATCTACCAATTTCAGCATTTCTTACGATACCAAATTGTGTGGATGTGCTCTGGCACATGTATGTTTGAATTTCTATTATCTTGTAGACACCCCGGGTTTGTGACAGATCATCATTTTGTTGGTCATTCATCCAGATATGAAGCATTGTAGTAAATCTCTACAGTAAGTCAAGTTACTGCTGGTCAGCCTTCTCTGAGTGTCTAGACAACTCAGGGTTTGTACGCAGCCCCCTGCTGGCTCATGATTTGAGTCATGGCTCAGTACTAGAGCCAACTTGTTCCAGTGTTTTAGGAATCAGCATGCTACTATGCTCTAAAAAAATTAGACATGAGTAGACAAGCTGATTACCAGAAAGGCAAACTTCATCAGAAAAAAACATTCGTCATTATATAAGTGGGGGTGCAGTGCCACTGTTAAACTCACTTGCACTCTATTTCCCCTTATTGTGTTCGTTTTCTTTTCTTTTCTCTCATTCTCTCTCTCTTTTTAATTACTTTAAACATGACCGAGATAAAGTACAGTAAAATCTGCTGCTGGCTCATGAGGATTAATTTGTTTCAATGAAGGAGTGTTTGCTGTTCAGACTCAGTTCAGAGTTTAAGGGCACTTTTACTGTCACAAGTACTTTTAATCTTTAAGTAGACTCACATACTTAATCTTACCTGTGTGATGACGGCTGTTGTCAGTAGAGTCAGATAGATGAGAAATGTCATGATTATCCTTAAAAGCTAAAAAACAAACAAAAAAACCCTACAAAGTAATTTTAAAACAACAATTTCAAGCAGAAATCGAAGGAAATATTATTGATCTTCATTAATTTCACATGAAGATTCTAGTTTCTTTTTCTCATTAGCTCGGACTTCTATCCTTTTTTTCTAAAGGGGTGAGGAGCTAAACTCTACTTTATAGCCGATGGACCACGTAAGACCCCGCCTCTCTCCGTACTTCTAACCAATCAGCGTGCAGGTAACAGCCCAGATCCCTTTTCCCCCCCAATGGGCGTGACGTTACCGAGCGGATAGTTTGCTGATTGGTGGGCGGGTTTTGAAATGAATGGAGCCATTGATAAAAATCTCAGGGGCGCTCTGTTTGCTTTATGAGTTAAAAATGAAATTGTAACAACTCCTTTCAAGTCACACTTAGCACATTCCTGCTACCACTGAGTAAACACACTCAGCTGAGCCAGACAGCCATGCAACATTAATAAGACCTCCACCTTTGGGGAAATAAGGGAGCAGGAGGAATTCCTTCTTTTTTTGTTCTAAGCCAGGGCAGAAAATTAAAGTGGAGTGCATTAAACAAACATTAACATAATATGAGGGGCAGAGTGAAAATACTCGACTTTGTCTGTGTCCATCATGTTCTAAGAATAAGTGTTTCCAAAGTTTTTAAGTGTAGATTTTGATCGTTTTGCTTTCGCTGTGAATTCAGGTGGACTGCCCGTTTCTATTATTTCTAACCACATGATGCTGACACGGGAATGATGATGATATGATTGCTTGGAAAGAATGGTGAAGCTGAGGTTAAAAGTAAGATTTTTTTTTTAAGGGTAACACATGTTGGTCGGTCTCCTCTTTCGCTGCCATCTTTTTTTTCTTTCTTTAACCACAGGTTTCCAGCCGCGCCTGTCCTAAAACAGAGACCTCTTTAGAAGAAAGTAACGTGATAGGTAGGTGTTTTGAAAGTTAGGATCCTGCTATGAATGTCAAAGTATTCTTGTAAAGTTCTGGTTTATAGGCTCATTTAATTTTAGGCTTTAAAGAGGATTTAATTTTTTAAAATTTGCGTTACCATCACTACTCACTCAAAATATTTTTTACCTCCAGCTAAAGGGATGAAAGCTTTGTGCTTTAATTTTCAAAAATAATAACAAAACTCAAAAATTATTATTATGTAATTTTTTTATAACTTTTACATTTTAACTAATTTCTTTGCTTTTCCCCCCTAAAATATATTTTTATGTATCAATTTAAGATGCATTTCTCAGTGCATTTGTACATATAGGTGTCATGGTACTGGGTGTATGACCCAGTGTTTCCAAGCTTCTGGACATTATGCTGTTTATTTTCAGATATTCAATGTGATTCTTCCTCGTGGTTATTTTTATGTCATGTATATGTTTCTGTTAGCCTTTAGTTCTTTGTGACTTGTGAGTTTTTCCCCTTAGTGTCTTCTCCTGTGTCTTGTCTTCACGTTTCTTTTTCTCTTGTCTCCGTGTTTGGAGTTTACTTTCTGTCTTCCCAGTCAGTCATGTCTCCATGTCTGTTTCTCCCTGTGTCAAGCCTGTGTGGCTTAGTCTTCATCTCCGTGTTTATTGTACTCCCTGCTTAATTTGGACAGTCTCCTGTCCTGCGTACAGTATGTTCAGTTCTGCTTCCCCTGTCCTGTTAGTCTGTATTAGCGCCGTGTTCCCACCTGTTGCCCATCCTCACGTTCTCCTGTGTGGATTTTAGTTCCCCCTCTCCCTCTGCTTGTTGTCTGGTTGTTCCTATTTGCAGTGTTTCCCTTGTTTATCCCAAGTTCCGTAGTTTCCTGGTTTCCTCATGGGTTGGGTTTGTATTTTGTATGTTTGCACTTTCAAGTATCTTATTACAGCAAATAAAGTTGTCTCCTTTCGTTTATTCCCCTGTGTCTGACTCCTGCGTCTGGGTCCTGCCTTGCCTGCCATAGAGCTGTACACAACAATAGTCACAATCTATGAAAATGGGAACTGACAATCTCACTGCACACTGCTCTGCACATAATATATTTGTATAAGAAATAACCCACTTCCTTCTGAAATTTTCCTGTGGAAACTGAGCACTGCTGTAGGTGCCCACCCTTCTGCTTAATCTCACGGTGTGCTCCTACCATGTGACATATATTAGATGTTGTTTGCAATCACTTGACAAGCAATGCTCTTCAGTTTGGGAGCACAGCTGCACATCTCATGGCTATTTGGTGGTTCCCAACTAATGTTTTAATCCAGTTGCTACAGCATGAAGAGTCAAAACAAGGAAGATATGCATGTTTCCTGTTCCTTCCCATCATGAGTCTTCCTGGTGACTCATTTTGCGACCAAAATTTTGTGACTCATTAAGCTGATTTCAGTCCTGACAAAGCCATGTGGCAAACCACTCTTAAATCAGTAATGGGAGTTTCTAAGATCAGCTTTATGACTTTGGTTTGGTTTCTTGAAACCAGCTTTGTGGTTCAGATAGATATTCTAACAACAGTTTAACTCTGTAGATAGATAGATGGATACATTATTGATCCCACGAGAGAAATTCTTGTCTAACAGCAACATAAATAAGAAAAATAGAACAATCTAAAATATATAAACAACATAGTTAAAGTAAAAGTGCCACAGGTGCATCCTGAGATTTTTTAATTGAATACAACAGTGATAAAAACAACAAATACAAAATAGGTTAAGATACAGAAAAATGTAAGAGGCTGAGATTGTTGAACAGAGTAATGCAAATTGAATTAATAAAAAATGTTTACACTATAAACCTGAGAAAGAGCTACAAGAATGTATAATACAGAAATATGTGTGTGGAATCTCAAGCCTAACAGGTGTGTACACCTGTCACAGCAAGAAGAGGTATTGTACAATTTCACAGAGGATGGTAGGAATGATTTCCTGAAGCGCTCTTTATGGCAGCAGGATTGAAGGAGCTCTGCTGCCTCACTAGTGCTGAGTGGAGTAGGTTAGATGGATTGTCCATGATGGCAAGCAGTTTGTTCATTGACCTCCTGACCCTCACTGACTCAAACAACTCCAGATTCTGGCCAGTGGTGATTGCAGTCTTGTGAATCAGTTTGCTGATCCTGATTTACAGTATATGTTATTTTATTTATATTATTAAATTAACTCAGGATTATATACTTTTTTCAGAATAACAATGAAAATCTTGTATCGTGTATGGAACACAGGTATTAAAACACACCTCATCTGGGTAGACGGTGTTTTGGGAGTAATCCTGGGACATTTGGATTCAACACTGAACCCTCTGGAGATGTTGTTTCCTATCAGCGAAACACGGAAGAAGGATGGCACCCACTTGACAACCCAGAAAAGTGCCACCACTCAGTTGAGCAGTTCATAGAGCCCAAGCTACAGATCTTATAGGTGCACCTTAGGGATATAAAACCAAGTCAACAAACTGAATCTTGAAAATGAATAATCATCTTGAACAGGCACAGAGTTTCCTCACTTGTGATTTTAAACTGTTAACACACTGTAGAGAGATGGAGTGTTAAAAAGAAGGATGCTGGTGGACACTGGACAGAACTGGACTAGTGTTTCCATTGAGTACACCAGTTAAAATTTCCTGACTGGAGTCATGGCTCCCGCTTTATAAAAGGAAACCACGTCCGGAAACTGTCAGTCATAGCTCTAATGGTATGACGAGAGAGACAAAGTCATGGCCCATCTATTTTAATCCTCTGGTGGTCATGGTACAGGGAGAGGTCTGAAAGTCCTGTGACTACTTCTTTTCTCAGCGTCTCCACTGATGCCTAATAAGAGAGAATCAGAAGCATGAACACTTCACTTTGACGAGGGTAGAAAGCTAATGCTGAAGGGGATCAGACTGTTTTTAAACAGGAAAACACTTTATGCAGGAAACTGTCTGTGAGAAGTTTTATTAGGATTTGTAGTAGTTCTATAGTTTTATTTGATTTCTGCTTGTTTATGTATTTGTATCTTAGTGACCCTGAAAAAAGGCGGTTCATCTGAAGGATTTTAGCCCTCTAAATATCTTTACTTCAGAGAATTATAATGTTCATTTAACTCAGAACACTTTAATGTGGGAGATATAAATAACCTTTCTCCAAGCTGAGATTAAAATAGAGTTTAAGTGACTACTGGGAAAAATTTTCTTCTAATTTAATGAGGAATTGGACTACAGTTTCACCATAATGACATTCTTTAAATACAGTTATGTAACATAAGCCCAGGGGGCTCTCAAGCGAAAGACTGAGCACCTAGGAAGGGGCACCATATAAATTTGAGGTGCTGTATGAAGATTACCAGAGGACAAAAGAATGGAAAAAAAATTTGCAGCGCACAAATTTGTTGTCTTAGTTTGGAACATTTTCAAAATCTGATGTTGCACACGGGCCTCAATGTTGTTTCCATTTGGTGGGACTGTTGATATAGATTAAAGGCCTGCCCAGAGTTTGATAAAAATTAAATAAAATGTTCTGAGAAGGCAATGAAAACCAACTACTGTAACTAACACAATATCAGAGAATAAATATAGTCAAGTGTAAAATTAAAGAACTCACAATGAAGAATTGTTACTTTCACAAACAGAATATTGCCTTTTTATTATTAGATTACTACAGAAATGTTAACTTTGTGGTGGCCGCCCTGTGTGTGGATGTCTGTGTCTACAGTTTGTTTTCTTTTTTCAAGCATTTTATTTCAGCACCTTACTTAGTATGTATGCCAAGATCTTTCAATAAAAGTGGACATAAAAGGCACAAAAGTGTCGAGTCATCCCTCAATTCTTTATATTTCACTTCCAAGGAGCAGAAGTGGTATAAAGATATTTCAAAGTTTTTTAGTCCATCCCTTGTACCTGAATGCTTAATATTTATCTATGAATCATTCTAACATAAAAAATGCACCTAACTCCTAAAATAGTATTGTTGCACAAAGAGCCTGATTCCTAAAGAGCTATTATTTGCAAACTTGGCATTTCTTGGGATAGTGTGTCCTTAAAAGATTTGAGGAAACTGGACAAGTGGGGGAGAAAATAAGACCTAAAAGCAGGCCTAAAAACTCAATTTGAACTTTTTGGTTGAAATTATTGTCAGTACATATGGAAGAGGTCAGAAGAGTCGGCTCTGTCATGCTTTGTGG